AGAGAGAGAGAGAGAGAGAGAGAGAGAGAGAGAGAGAAGATCAATTGTAAAAGTTCACCGAAAGTACAAAGCATCTTAAACATAAAAAAAATTATATTGAGATTTTGAGACCACCGAACGATCAATACGTCTGCCAGAACGAGCCACCGCGCCGATGTCGCCACTCCTCTATCGGAGCCGGCTTGACCTTGTTGATGACAGTCGGGAACTCTTTATGCAGGTGCCCCTAAGGACCAACGTTCTGGAGCAGTAGTCGTCGCTGTTGAACTCTTGCATAGATCTGGAGCACTTGACATCAAATCTCGCCACATAACAAGAAACCTAAACCTCACCACCCAAAGGAGATGGCAGAAATCTACGCCGGACCTCCATTGTTTATGTCCAAACAAACAAACTTGAGGGAGGGTCGAACCCCGGAAGACAAACTCGAAGAAGAAATGTTGCCATCCACCCAAGCGCTGCACCTGCGAGGACTAAAAAAAACTAATGTAGACTACTAACTGGAGCGGAGGAACTGGGATTCCCCTCCCTGCCACCGGCTTTCGGAGCGACAGGCAGATGGGAGGCCAATCCACTGGCTCGCGGTGAAGTCTAGAGAGGAAAGTTTTCCGTAGCCGCCTAGGATTAGGGATGGAGACATGTAAACTACATAGGTTTCTTCTTCTTTTGTTGTCTCTTTAAGCCACTATTTAGTAGCTTTACAAAATCTTCACTAGTCATCAGGTGAACATTAAGCTTAATGCATGGAACAACATATAAATGCTAACTACATTGCAAAAATAACCAAAAAAATTCTACCCTTGTTTAAATAATTAAATACCAAGCCACCCCGCATCAAGGGCACATCATCCTGGTTCTAACTGGACGTGGATTTTTCAATCAACATATGTGGCATCCATGTTTGTCTTTGGATTTAGCCACTGACTTGGGTGTTGGGAGACTTTCGTATTCTTTAGTTGCTTTCATTCGCTCAGCTACATGCACACAAACTTCCCATTCCAAAAGAGGAACCAAAAGACAGAGCACAAACTGAACTCTCCTGGCTAACCGGTAGTTCTCCAAGCTATTGGTCCTGACATTCATCCGCATCTTGTCCATGATATATTTGCATCCCTTTCCGTTCCACTTTCCCCTTTTCTCCTCATGCTTGTCTCTCATTTTCCTCCGCAAGTCCATTTTTCGGTTTCGCCTACCGCCTTTCTGCTTCTTCTTCTCTAGAATGCCAGAGCGGCCAATAACAAGTTATAGATATGCCAACCTGGCACATTAACAACTAATTATTGGCCAAAACTTTGTCTTAATCAATCAAGAAACATGGTATAATTTGAAATGAAGGGAGAGTCACATTTATACCTTTGTCCAAGTTCCTAATTGCTCAATATCTATCCTGAACTCATTTGTTTACAGTTTTGAAAACGTTTGAACTTGTGTTTTCATATGAGATGTTAATAATGATAACTGAATTGTGCAAGTGACGTCCAGCAATTTCGGTGGTAAAACTTTACACCCATAAATCGATCCACCTTAATATCACACGACCTTAACTTGCCAGTTAGTAGTGCATAACCAGACAAATTGATTAATTTGTTTCTTCATTTATTTAGTTTATATGGTGGACGAATGGTGGTATAATCTCCACACTCATCAATCAATTGAGTGTTTACTAGTCTGAAACCTAGATCAATTTGTTGGACTAATCAACAGCTTACCTAGCTAGCTAATTAATACTCTAGCTCTGTTTTAAAAAAAATACTCTAGCTAAGACCACTTCCAATGCGTCGTCTCTTAACGTTAGTGTGTACTAGTATGTTAGATGTGTATATACAACTAACTCGATGCATTTGTAAATTTCATTCGTAGGTCAAGTACTATTTGTCATATACGAGACTCCATGTCTATAAGATTATCTTAGTCTAATTGAATGATGAGCACAAGGTTTGACGATCTATGTATTGATGTGTGTAGGGACGGTATCCATGAGTACGAGATAAGAGAAAACTTCATCCTATCCTATTCATTACTTTGTTTTAGGGGGTATCCTCTTCATTAGTTATGTGTCACATGGACAAAAAATCTGATGTACTAGCATCTCTTAATGTGTATTAGTATGCTTTTTTTGTGTCGCTAGTTTGTACTAGTATATATTTTTTATTTTGCAAGAAAGTTTGTACTAGTATGATAGATGCTTATATATATACAACCAACTCGATGCATTGTATCTTACATTTTTAGGTTAAGGGCCTGTTCGGCCTTCCGCCAGCTCCGCGGATCTGCGGAGCGCGTATATCCCAGCTCCACCTTTTCAGCCTGCAGCTCCGCCGGCTCCGCGAGCTGACTCGGGAGTGGAGGGATTCCGAACGCTCCCTAAGTAAGTATTTTTCATAGTAAACTTGATGTCTATTAAGATTATTTGAGTCTAACTGGATGACGAGTACGAGGTTTAATATACATGAGTACGAGATAAGAGACAACTTCATCATTTCCTCTTCACTAATAAGTTGTGTGTCACATGGACAAAAAAAATCTGATGTACAAGACTATGAGACAACAGAAAGTGAAGCACCGGGAAAAAGACCTAAATACTCCTGCTCCACTAGGCGGCTGCTCTGGCCGTAGCCGCCGCAGGTAAAATAAGCACCCTTTCGATTTCAATTGAAGAGATGAACTTTCGTGTAAGTAGCTACGAGGAACAGACAGGCAGCTACTAGACATCATATGGCACACATGCATGCCGGCTGCTAAGCAACGCTAATAGTAATGCATTGATTTCCATGCATCAGTTGCTTGCCTCCACGCCTACGTACATACAAACAGAGAGCAGGTGAACCTTGCTGTGGTCACTGTCAATTAGTTAATGATCACCCTGACATGGTACGAAACAAAGAAAATCACAGGTGACTACAATATACAACACGCTGTTGGTATAAGAAAATACAACCCCGATATGTTGATGTCCACGGTTTACCTAGCTTCCTGCATATTTTCTTCTTCCAAGAATTCCCTTCATTTTGGTCTATTTTTATTGTTATTAAATTATTTTTGTTTTGTATACACAGTTCCCCATTTTGCTAATGTCTCACTAAGGTTTTTATCGAGGTTTTGATCAGTCTTCAAAAAGTTCAAGAAGAGGTTTGACATAAACTCAAGTAGATCCAGAACTAGTGTAGAACTATCGACATAATCTGTATGAAAATAATGAAATCATGGTGAATTCACCGGAAGCCATATGAAACATACATTATTCTGAAACCACTATGAAAATCCACTGAATTACGTATCGAAACTATATGGACACAAGAAGCCAGAACTAGAGTCGCTAAAAGCCATATGAAACTTGCAACAATGACAAATTTGTTTTAGAAAAAAATCATCAACACTTTTATTAAAGTTTCAAAACATGTTTTTTTTGAAAATCCACTGACATACGTACCAAAAGTATGTGAAACCATGAAACCACAAGGGAAGTCGATGTAAGGCATATGAAACTTGCATCGATAAAAAAATGGTTTCAGAAAGTTTGATCAATGTCATTCCAATTTCGAAACATGAAAAACTATATTTTCAAAACATATTTAACACTGTTATTTTTTTTAAGATCTCGTCAACATAAAGATCATAGTGAAAATGGACTCCAAATTGGTCATTCGGCTCAAATTTATGGCCATGCCTAAGTATGAACATAAATTTAAATCCATTGGTTAATGGATAGGAGGGAGGGATGTTGAACGCGGGTTGAGTTATGCAAATTACGTACAAAGTTCTGCAAAAGATAAATGATAAATGTTTGCACACATCTCAAAGTGCTAAGGAACTTTAGATTGTCCTTGAATGTCCACATGCGAAATCCACGTTGTGGCGACATAGCCTCTCTTTCTATAAGTTTTGTCTCGCGTCTGCAGCTAGTTACTCCGGGTCATTGATGTAATAGGACACTTGAGCAGAGTAGCAGTTATTTGTTGAAAGTGCATGAAAGCATGCTTGCCTTCATGCTATTAATAAATTAATTACTTAGCGAGTGATAAACTCTCTAGCATCAACGAAAAAGACAAATACATGTTCCAAAAACTAAATAAATAAACATAGATAGATATCAAAGCATGCATGTAGGTAGCCGTCAGTTAGGCAGAAATATTAACTAAAAAATTGATAAGATTCACTCATCACTCATGCGGATCGAAGATCTCAGCTGCTACTCCACTAGCTAAATGGAACTAGAATATGTATGTTTTTTAGGGAATACCTAATTTTACTTAGGATCCCACCTAGTTATATATGGAATTGATGTGACATAATTTTCAGAAGTCTAAATGAAGACAAAAGGAAGAGGGGGAATAAAAGAAAAAAAAATCAACATAGAAGGCCCATAAAAAGAAGCCACCATACTCTAGGGATGATTGTGCTAGTCCAACATGAACTATGAACCAACCCCTCCTCTCTAGTCGGCCACTGGCTAGTGCATGGACCTTTATTTAACCTCTCTTACCCTCCTACTACCATCACAATAGTACTTGGTCATTTGTCAACAACTTTTAGCCTATATGACCCTATCTACATGGACATGTACTCTAACTCCCTGCCACTAAGAACATAACCTAAAGGGAGAGGAATCCCATAAAACCAGCACGGCTTGGAGTTTTGGGTCAGCAAGAGACCTCGTAAGACTAGTACATCTCCGTTATTTGCAGAAAAACATGGGTCTTAAGCAAAGATATAATCCTAAAACCCGCCTCAAGCACTGCAGAAGGTTCTTACAATGAAATTATTAAAGACGGTATCATAGTGCTAGGACCAAGCCACGAGTAAAAAAATAATGTATCACTTCTCTCACATGAAAATATTGAGCGCTTGTGTGGTTAAGTGATTAAGGCTTGAAGAGAAAGAAAAATAAATGATATGCGGGTGCAGATTAAGATTCATAAGATTATTGGCGTGTCAACTCGTTGTCACGGAAGAAAGTATCGATGTATACCAACTTTATTTCACGGTGACACCTACACACATGCGGTTAATATTAAGTTGCAATCGGTGATGTTGTGTCTAGATTCGCCGGAGGGCATGTGGAGGTATGTTTCATCGGATCTTGTGAGATTTAGTCGGTGGTGGTTTTTCGTGAATTTGTTTCTTCGTTCGTGTGTTACATGTTTGATCCTTCCAATATACGACTCTTCATCGGCGGTGATTGCTGCTCTGGGGCCTAGTCCCATGGAATATTAGTATGATGTCTTCTCCACTGTCTATTGCAAAAAGGTTTGCCCGGCTTCGTTGAGGGAGTGACGATGATGGTTGTGTGCCTTCGGCTTGCTCTAGTGCTTGTAGTTGTTGCTAGGTTGTTCGTAGATCTGGTTGTAATTTTTGTTACCTTTATTCTCCTTTTGTAGTGTCATGATTAATTATTAATTATGAATAGGTAGGAAGTTTCTCCGGCAAAAAAGAAAGTACTGTTACGTTGCAGTCGCTAACGGGCACGCTGTGTATATATAAGATCCAGCGGCGAGCAAGCTAGTTTTCGCAGCAGCCTGCCCTATCTATCAGCACGGCAGTCGTGACTCGTGAACCTAGCTAGCTAGCTAGGCAGCTAGGCAATGGAACCGACGATGGCAGCAGCAGCATCAGGGGCGTCGGCCCAGTCAAGCAACCGGCGGAGCATGAGCTGGGGCTCCTCCATCTCCCACTCGTTCCGGCAGCCGGACACGGACGACCCGTTCAGGCGGGCACAGTCGCGCAGCGACAACGACGAGGAGAACCTCCGGTGGGCGGCGCTCGAGAAGCTGCCCACCTACGACCGCATGCGGCACGCCATCGTCCTCAACCAGGACGGCGCAGGCCTGGTGCACATCGAGCAGCTTGCCCGCGGCGAGGCCGGCCGCGCGCTCCTGGAGCGCGTCTTCCAGGACGACAGCGAGCGCTTCCTCCGGCGACTCAGGGACCGCGCTGACAGGGTGGGCATCGACCTCCCGGCCATCGAGGTGCGGTACCAGGACCTCTCCGTTGAGGTCGACGCCTTCGTCGGCAGCCGGGCGCTCCCCACGCTCTGGAACGAAGCCACTAACTTACTACAGGTATGTACCTTCCATACATACGTACGCATGGACCCTACGCACACTTGCATGCGTGGCTTGCTTGTTTCATGGCCTGCATCATCGTTTTTAATTCTGTCTCGTTTCAATTTTCAACACAAGACTCGTCATTTTTCGTCTGATCCATCCAATCCAAGGGCTGCCCGTTTGGGTTTCAACATACTGCAAGGCTAATTTTGTAGCAAACCATGTAGGTTTCAACGGCTAACGCACGCTTTGTTCGCCGTTCTTCACTTGTGGGATTACTTACCTTTTTTTCTTCTATTACTATGTTATTGCAGTCGGTTGTTTCGTTTTCGCTTTATCTATGCTGGCTTGGATTTTATTTGTGTTCTGGTCTTGGTTTTTTTTCATTTGTATATGGTGTTGGGCTGATATTGGAGACGATATTTGTTTGAGAGAAGAGTAAAGTTGTTAGGTGCGTGATTGTGGAGATATTAACACATTTCAGCCTCGGTCTCAGCTCTTATTCTACGTTGAAACTGTAAATTATTGTTATAATGCTCACATGGGCCGATCCATGAGGCTCTTGCTCGCTCGGCTTGGCTCCCTACCCCGCTTAGCAATTTTTCTACTCACTCCACTGCTAGCTTAGAAAAAACCACCTATCGTATTTTTTTAATTTAAAGAAGTTCATTAAATCAAAAGAATTCAAGTATTTTTAAAAAATCTTGAAGTTTAAAAAAAGTTGCACATTTAAAAAGAGGAATTTAAAGAAATGTTTTGCGAGTTACAAAAATATTTGTGGATTTCAAACAATGTTCGTGAATTTCTAAAAGGTTCAAAAAATTAAAAATGTAATGGAATTTAAAATTCTTGTTGAACTTTGAAAATATTCCTGAATTCAAAAACATATTCGTATTGTTTTTAAATTTTCATGACTTTTAATAAATATTCATGAATTAGCATGTGAAAAAAAATAAAAGGGAAAAAGGGGGACATAAAATCTAAAAAAAGAAAAATAATAAAGAAAATAGAAAAGCAGGAAAAAAACAAAAGAAAAACTATTATAACCGGTGTAAAATACCGAAAAGAAAGAAGAAGAAAACATCATACACTGCCCTCTCAAAATCGGGAAAACCGGCTGGCCCGGCGAGAGAGACCCTAACAGATGGGCCCATAACATATCCCACAATCCCCAATGCGCCAGGTGGCTTCAAATCTAGAGAGCTTAGTATCTTAGCAGATGTCTTAATCTAATAGAGTAACTATATACTCTCTTTTTGCGATGGGACTACCAATATACTTCACTTTGAAAAATTAGTGCATGTAGAAACCAAATTAGCCAAAAAAAACTCATGGAAACTGCGTTTGGATCTCTTTGGAGTGAGCATGTGTCATTCATTAGTCAGTCCACGGCACAACACAACACATGTGGCACGAAGGGAAGACTTTAGAAAACATAAAACCCTAGCAAAAATAAAATTACAAAGAGACCTTTGGGGGTCACTACACACAACACCGTCCTTGCTCATCGCTGTAGGTCGTAATCATCGAAGCCACAACAAAAAGAAGAGTATGTCCATTACGGCCTTATCTATGGAAGCACCAGAATGTAACAAATTGTGTTGTGAGCTGAATATGTAGCTCACTACAAGCCAAGGTCTCGTGGCGTGTCGGTCGAGACCTTGATAATGATGGTTGAAACACTGATCCGTTGCCTCCACTCAACGAGGTTGGAGGAGAGGAGCAAATTCGTCTGCCTCTATTCACCAGTCGTTCACCAAAGCACTCATCCTTTTAAGAATGACTCTAGTGTCGCACCTAGAGGAGTGTACAATTATTGTCCCAATAACTCCTGAAAAAATTGACCCCGCCTTCCAATGTCGCTAGAGGAGACACTATAGATATGCAAACGAAGCCAAATGAACAAAAATTCCAAGGGAGGCATTGTTATCACTAACACTCTAGAAACCCTAGGGAACCCTAAATCCACCACGCCGAAGGAGCGGTGAAGAAACCACCCTATATCCAACTAACCCTATCTTTGGTGGCCTTCAGAAACAAGCGACATCTATCCTGTGAGACCGTCTTATGCAGCACGTTTGGCAGGCCAGGAGGTGATCCCTGTGGCAAGGCTTGTGTGGAATTTGAGAGCCCTTCTAAACTACAGGTTATTTGTCTGGCTTGCTACGAAGAATCTTTGTTGGACCTCTGATCGCCTAGCACATTGTGGACTACCACACCAGGCGGCATGTTCGTTATGCGACTAATACATGAGATAATTGATCATCTCCTAGTCGGTTGCGTCCTTGCCTTTAAGGCCAGTTCTTTTGATGGCTTCTAGAATAAGCTGAAATAAGCTGCCCCGTACCTAGCCTATTCTACAAGCCCAACCAATTTTTTTAGAAGCCTAGTGGTTGAGACTTGATTAGTATGCTTCTAAAATGAAATATTTGGTTGCGCTTCTAGAATAAGCTGGGTAGGGGGAAGCTTATTCCGGAAGCCCAAAAAAGCCAGGAAAAGAACTGGCACTTAGTGTGGCTTGGGGTACTCTATGCTTGTGTTAGAGCCGAGTGGGTGCCTTGAGCCAATGACAGACTCGTCGGCTAGGGTTCCTCGTGTTTCGAGGTTGCCTCGAAGGACTTCTGAACGATCCTCACTATCACGCTCTTGGAAGTCTGGAAGCATAGGAATACGGTGATGTTTCATCATGTGGTACCCGCCGCGGATGTGGTCCTCTCTGCCGATGATTGGGAAGGGAGAGTGTGGATTGTGGCTAGGCTTCTGCGATCAGATGGGGAAGCCTTTTGCTCATCGTTAGCTAGGCTGAGAGATTCTAGATAGTGCCATTGGTGTTTTAGGTAGATGGATGATGTGATTTGTGCATCTTGTCGGGATGTACGAACATGTTATTTTAGCTGAGTGGTCTTACTCCTTATTCTCTAATATATGATACGCACTAGAAAAGAAGGAAAATGAAATTAAAATCATAAATAACAGCATATATACAAAAATATATTTTCAATAAAGGATAGCCAGAATACCACTAGGTAAATCCTTTCAAATACCACTAGTGATAACCAAAGTGCCAAAATATCCCTAATGTCAAACAGAGACTAACATATTTCAAGAAATACACATATGCTCCTTGCTCATCTCCCTCGGTCCAGAGGAAAGTATACGACAATGCATCTTTCTTAGGGTCGAGATTTAACAACATCATTCAAGCACGTGACCATGTGAATCAGGAAAACAACTGCAAGAAGGAATACTCTGTAGACACCATAATAGATGTGCAGGTGGCGATTTGGCTCCTAGGCTCATATGAGCCCGGACATGAACCATAAAATCACTAAAAATGGTTTAAAAAATTAAGAAAAATCTGAGAAATAAAAATGGCAAGCTAGATGCTCAAATGCATGATCTCTGTGCAAAAATTGATGAAATTTGGTATTTGAGGAGCTCGTGGCAAAAAGGACAAATTTTAGGTGTCTAAGAAACTTTTGAAAATCGCATTGTTCATGTTGATTTTATCTTTTTTGCCACAAACTCCTCAAATGTCCAAACTTCATAAAATTTTGCGCGGAGTTCACGTACAGGAGCATCTTGCGCCAAAAAAATGGATTTTTAAAAAAAAAATCCATTTTGTTACTACTCACCAGGTGCATCTGAGCTTGGGTTCCAGATTGAATTATCGTAGTATAAGTATGAATTACTCTATAGTAGTACTACCATTAGTGAAGGCTATCTATCATTTTTTAAATATATTTAGGTGAGGAGTCTTTCCCGTGACCGTTTCAGAAAAGAAAAAACTGTATAGACATTGCAGTCACAAATGATGCATTGCTCTATCATTTGCTTTTGCAGGTTCTGTTTTTGCAGCTTTTCCACTTTGGCCAAGAAACCATAAAAACTTCTAAATAGATGCTTTTTTGAGTTTTTATGGTTTTTGTAGCTAAAATTGTTATATTGATTCCTTAAAATGCCTAAAAGCTTTAAAAGTATCTATTTAGGAGTTTTTATGAGAGTAAAATACATGCACGGTCCTAATTCTTTTGCAGAAATGTCATTTAAGTCCCAAATCTATAAAAATATACATCGCAGTCCTAAATCTTTTATAAGTGGTTCATGGGAGGTCCTATTGACCTCTGACCCTATTGACCGACTGGTGTGGCGCTTTGACCACTGCCATGTAAGCACTATTTTGCACAGAACCCCCCGCGAAGTCATATCTTCTAAGTTCATGGCCCTCTTCATGCAACTCGGCACTGCAGTAAACCAATCAATGCATGGAGCTCGCAGCGCTGCTGGTTGCTCCCGCTTGTTCCCTTCGCCGGCCTTCTCTACCTCGGGCTCTGAAAAAAGAACGGCGAAGACGACAAGGACTTGGCACGGCGCCTCTCCCTCCGGCTCCTTGGCTGGATCCCCGCGCTCTACCAAGTTGATGTGCGTGCATGGTGTTAGACTGTATGTGTATACATAGACTTGTGTATACGTGTTGTACTTATACTTGTACCCTTTGGTACTTATATATAATGAGATAGCCGCACCCCTCAAGGGTGTCGAGCAGTTGCCCCAATATCCTGGTTCTAACATGGTATCAGACTAGGGTTTCCGTCTTTCGCTGCAACCCTTGCACCACCGCCGATCGCTGCTGCGTCGCCGCCGATCGCTGCCGCCGCCTCGCCCGATGGCCTCCGCACACTCAGCCGCCGCCTCGGCTTCCTCCCCTGCTGGCGCGCCGGTCGCCCCCTCGTCGCCCTTCCTCGCGTCCCCCCCGCTCGCCACGGCTTGGCGGCAGCCGTCGCTGCCCGCCGACGGCCATCTGCAGGGCGGGCAGGGCGGGCAGGAGCAGGGCGGGCCGGGTCTTCCCCAGCCGCCGATCGCTACTGGCGGCGCCTCGCCCTCGACCTTCGCCTTCGCGCCGCCACCTCTTCGCGCGCCGCGCCGTCCGCCTACGGGGCGGCTCCCCAACCCTACGGCGCCCCTCCGCTCTACTATGGCGCGGCCCCGACCTACGCTCCGTGGTACGGCGCCCC